GAGGGAGGGGGGACGTCGGCCTTTGATGCAGCGCGAAGTGCCACACTTGTCGGAGTCGTCCGGCGTCCCCGCCTTGAGCGCCTGGTTCTCGTCCTTGAGCGCCTGGTTCTCGTCCTTGAGCGCCTGGTTCTCCGCGCGTGCCTCCTCGATGTCGGCCCTGCCGTTGATGTCATCCGTCACTGCGTGCTCCATCTTCGAGGCGGTGCAACCCATTTTGAGCGGTGTTCTGCACACGAGGGGAGCGCACACCGTGAGTCGGGGGATGCGAACGCGTAACGCTTGTGGGTTTGATTGTGCGCTCTGGGATGGGGAGGCGGCAGAGGCGGAGCCGGAGGCGGCAGCGGCGGTGGCGGAGCAGTGGCAGCGGAGGCCGGCGGCACACAAGAGCTGCGCGGGCGTGATGGAGGGCGGCGGCGGCGGCCTTGAAAGTCGATCGTCGTCTCTGATTCGGTTCCTCGGACACGCCGTTTACGCTTTTTTTTATCTGTTGCCTGAGGTGTGAAGCGATGGAGGCGCTCGCCGCGTGCGGCGATTGAGCGCCTCCCTCTCTCTCCGGCTGCGCGCCTGACCGGTGCAGCCTCCGAGTCGGCGTCTATGCGCGCGATAAGGTTTTTGCTCGCCTTCCCTGGGACCCCGTGTTGCGTGACTCTGTGCGATTTCGGGCCCGGGGTTGTTCGTTTACGTGAACCGCGCCGTCCCGGGCACAGCACAGACAGAGCGCACATACATCATGCTCGGGCACCCCCCACAGTGTCGCTTAGTGTGGGTAAACGAAAGTAGCGCTACTACCTGAAAGAAGAAAATGAAAGAAGTGCCGCGTGCACCTCGATCCTGAACCGTGTTTGTTACGAAAGAAGAAAAATGCGGCTCGACCGCCCGAGCGCCGCCGCCGCGGCACAAGGGACTTCCTCCACTGATGAGCGCCTCGATCATCCTCCCGCTGAAGGGCACAAAGCCGGCGGAGCTCTCAAATGCGCTCCTCTCCTACTACGCGGATGTCACGAAATCGCGGCCGCCTGAAGCTGCGGCCGCAGCGGCCCGCACGCTCGACCAGGTGCGGGAGCGGCTGTCCTCCATCAAGGCGTTGAGCGACACGACGGCGGACGCGGCGGCGACAGAGCTGCTTGCGTACGAGCGGCAGCTCGCCGCACTCGCCCGGCGGCTCGACAACGCCGGCGCGGCGCTCAACGTCCGCTTCATCTGGCGCGACGCGTTTCGGCCAAAGCAAAAGGTCGAGAAGGGCGACCTCGACTGGGAGCGGGTGTGTACGCTCTTCAACGCGGCGGCCGCGCTCGGCTACGCGGCCAGCCGCGCCTTCCGCCGCGGCGCTCAGGCCGATGCCTTCAAGCAGCTGCAGCGCGCCGCCGGCTGCTTTGCTGCGGCGCACGACATGGTGCGTCCGGCGATCTGGGGTCTGGACCCGCGGTGGGAGCCGGCGAGCCTGTCACCCGACCTGGGCCTCGAGATGCTCTCCGCCCTCCGCGACCTCATGCTCGCGCAGGCGCAGCACGCCTTCCACCAGAAGGCGCTCGACGAGGGCATCCGCGCGCCGTGGCGGTGCTCGGAACAGCGCCTCTTCACAGGTGCAGCTGTGAGCAGGTCGGCGCGCCTCCTCAACCGCCACCACCTGTGAACAGCGCCTCTTCACGGGTGCAGCTGTGATCAGGCGGTTGACGAGGG